GTAATATTATACAAATATATAATAAGGACAATTTGGTCAAATATAAATTCTAATAATCTTTTATTCCTTTAACCAAACACGGTAATCTTACATTCCTGCTAAACTAACCAAACACAAAATATAACATTCCCAGTAATCCTATTCCCTGGTAATCTTTTATTCCCACTGATAATCTTATATTCCGTGAACCAAACGCACCCTTATTATTACTAACATAAATAATATTTCCGGTGAAAACATATAACATTTACGGTAGCGCTTTTAACATGTCACATATTTAACCAGTCACGTCGTTTTTAACCGTATTTTAACCGCCTCACAGCAGAACCTCCCCAAAATGCACTAAAATCGACGGTCGGGATGTAGATGTAGGCTTGGATTTTTTTTATTTTTTATTTTTTATTTATGCATATATTTGTAACAATGTGAGCTTTTTATTTGGGCCTAAAAAATTATGTAAATGGACTATTGCTTAATGAAATGGACTATCTAAAATGCAAACTATATAGTATATACTAACTAAAACTAAGTATTTAATATCTAATATAATATGCAATACTATTTATAATATGCAATTATTTAATATGAAACTATATGACATGCAAATTCAACTATGATTTAATATGTACTATCACATACAATTATTATTTAATATGTAATCACCTAGCAAAAATTATATACTATATGATATGATATATAATAATATATCTAATATGCCTACATATTTATTATATTACTATATTATAATATGAAATGTGTCACCACCCGGATAAAATGGGTGATGACAATGTGAAATTAGTATAAAATCTCAAAATAAGAGGGAAAAAGTCATTTTATTTTTTAAACTCGTCATGCAAACGATAAATCTTAAAACATTCTATGTAAGCATTTATCAGTATTAAGAATTTGAACTCCTAGCAATATTATAAAAATAGAATCAACTATCCCGTCAAATTACATTAAAAAAAACCCTTGATGCAGGCGAGACGTATCGGCGTTCACCTGTACAGAACAAACTATTACAAAAACTAAAAATTTGCAGGAAAACATGGTACGAGCAAGTAAAAACATCTTGGCTATGGCTACTTTTTCCTCAAGGATTTAACCGAGTCAGAGTTAGCCACCAAACTCGAGAGCAGGCCAACAAGGACTGCACTGTTATACGTGGTTGGTTCTGTTTGCATCGAGTTGTTCCTTGAATCAATGAACGATTCATTTTTAAAAGGCCCGCCCACCATTGCTCCCATAGCCACATTAGGATTGGGTTTCTTGGAAGCTAGCCACTTGAACCCATCACTGCAACCAGTGGTTGCATCAACTGGAATTGAAGCTCCCCTGTGATGCACGAATTGTGGGTATTTATCCCCATACCCCACCAGATAGCTTATTTCCTTTGGGTTATTGCCCAACACATAATCAGCCTGCATACAAAACATTATCACGTAACTGTTATTAAGAAATACTTTTTATGCAACATATTTTTCATGGAACATAAACGACATACCTGTGATTTTGCGAAGTCTCTAAGATCAGAGTGTTTGAATGATTCGTCACCACAAGATAGTTTATCGGTGTTTGCTGTACGCATGTAATCGCTGTATAGAGCAGCTAAAAATGCTGAACCAACAGGATGCTGCAGAGCATCCCATTCACTTATCCATATAAGACCACCTGCAGTAGTAACCTTATGCTGGTAATTCAGTTTATAAGAGCATTATTAACAGTCTAAAGTTATGGTTGCGGATTTGTTACTTAAAGGGCACACAATAAGCTTTGAAGGAGATCTTACTTTTTGTTCTGCCGGATGTGGCAGAGGGAGAATCTGGTAGAAGGGCACACATAAGTTCCTCGGCAGCTTGCTTGTAATCTTCGAGTCCAGAATTCCCGGAGGTGCCTTTGTCCCCTAACAAGCTTAACCTTGAAAGTAAAACCTGTATAGATGCAGCATATTCAAACAACTTGTACTTGGAATGAACTCAAGTGAATGCTACCAATTTTCTTCAACACTCACTATATATGCATGAACATTGAGAACTAAGGCATTCTTAAAGCATCACAATGCTTGAGAAGAGTCTATGAATGTGTCCAATATTCATTTAGAAATAAAAAGTGATTCTATATCAAACCAAGACATCACTTTTTCAACTGCAACAACAATGTTAAACTAGAAGGTAACAAGCTTCGAATTCCAGAGAAAGAGACCATTACCTGGGCTCCTGCAAGTTTATTATCCCAGCTAAACCAAGTTGGGCCATCCGCTTTGCCATACTTTTCCGAATTTTCGCCGGTTACATATTCAAGATACGATTTGTCACCTGTTGCATGGTAGAGCCAACTTGCACCCCATATGAGTTCATCACCATATCCTGTTGAATTGTAATATTTTGCAAGTTCTGGGAGACTCTCAGTGTAAGAACCTTTATGCTCGTCTGCAAAAGTAAAAAGTTGCTTGGCATGCTTGAGAAGGGTACTTGAATAATTGGAGTCATTTTTCTCAAACACCAGAGACGCTGAAGCCAGAGCAGCAGCAGTTTCAGCTGCAACATCCGACCCAGGAAGCGATGTGTTCACATGTTTGAGAGGCCTCCTTCCAGTCATTTTCTCTGGCTTTTCCCAACACTTGTGGTCCTCTTTTGGGTCACCTACCTGCCTCAGTCTTGCAAGTTAGTGCAATTATCACACAACTTACATGCACTTGCTGAATCAATCATGCACAATTATATACCTGAATATAGAGCACGTTGGCAGAGGGATGAGCATTTATAAGGAAATCAGTGATCCATCTGAGAGAACCTTTGGCAAATTCCAGTTGATTCACATGCTCCATATGAACTTCATACTCAAGAATAGCCCATGATAACACAGTAGCAGTGAATGCCATTGGGAAACCAAATTTCAAGTTATCCCCAGCATCATACATCCCCTTGGAAAGATCCAGCTTTGCTTCACTCCCGTCCTTTAGCCCCGAATCTGCTCTCCATGATATCTGATCATTTACTAGCTTACCAGCTACCACATGAAACAAACAACACTTCAAAACCAATATCTAATATTTTAAAAAGTTTATACGTAAAAAAAGAAACAAATATAGAATGAATGAGAGAGAGAGAGAGAAAAAAACAGGTACATTTTTGGACATCAAAGAATTGCATTGCGATTTCGAGAGCATCTGCATACTTCTTGTCGTCCATGGAACCTTGGGAGGAATTTTTATGATCCATTTTCTTCTTAAGCATAAAACGCCGACTGCAGCCGCAGCCAGTACTATAATGATCAGAATACAGCATAAACATCGTCTGGGCTTTGCCATTTTTTGTAACTTCAAATTTCACCCTTCGAAGAAACGTTGAAACAAAGATCTATTGGGAATCAAGTGCATGGGACAGTGTGATAGGTTTAAAGAAAAATGGAATTGGAGACTGGTTAAAATGTGGAAATGAATATGTAGAGTTGTTATGAAATGGGTTTGGAAGTATGTATTTTGGGAGAAATGTGGTTAAGAACAAAGGGGATTAGTTCAATTGAAGCTATTTAAGGTAACGAGTTAGCTGGATCTGGTGAAGAATCAGCAAAAGGTTGGCCCTCATAACATGCACAAATTACAATATTTCCAACGAAATTTCTTGTAATAATACAATTATGTGGTCTAATTCTGGTTTGAGTACCTCTACCATGCTGAAATTTAATTTCTCTTCTTTTTGTATAATGTTAGACATAGGTCAAATTTATAATACCATTAGTTGTTAATTAATCAATAAAGTCGGGTCACATATAAATATGGGTAAACTATCGAAATTGTCACTTACCTTTTAAATTTGTATACTTGTGCTCATTAAAGTAAAAAATTTAAGTTTTGGTCACTTGTGTTATCGTTTTATTAAAAAAAATTCATTAAAACTTTGAATGTCGTTAGTTTGATGACGTGACATGTTAGTAAAGAGATTTAATTTTTATCTTAGCTCTAAACTTTAGATAAAATACTAATTATGAACATTTTTATAAACCCTAAGTAATTTAGACAAAATTTCAACTTAAACAAAATAATTTATCTAAAATTCAATTTACGAAAATCTTACTTGGTACCATTTTGCCTTGTTTAGTTTTTTTGATTCTTTTTTACCCAGTAGGAGTAGCAGATCCACGTGAAGGTATGTACGTATTTATCTTAAAATTTGATTTTTTTAGTTAATTACTTATTTTAGTGGCAATATACATTTTAAAGTTTTATTTGTGTCTCTACTTTATTCAAAAATTATTTTATTAACATATCCATTCTAAGTTGATGTTGAACATCTCTGAGGAGGAATCAATAAAGAAACTCCTAGAACAGGAGAGTAGAGTTTTCGTTTCTTCGTCGTTAATATCATCCTTTAAGCTTTTGCTGCTAAACAATCCGCTATAGGCCAACATGGTGTAAAAAAAATAAGTAAAATCGTCCAATAGGTCAGGCGGGTAAAAAATTAACACATTAGGTCATCTTTAAAATTAATTTATGATTTACGACATTTACCATAATGACTTGAAACTCATAATGAGGGTATGATGAGTTTCAATAAAATATTTTTTTAATAAAATATTTTTTTATTAAAATTTATCATATCGACGTGATAAATTCTAATAAAATAATTATATATTTTTAGAACTTGTCACGTCCGCGTGACAAGTTTGAAAAAAAAAATTATTTGGACAAACTCGTCATGTAAGTGTGACGAGTTTATCTTGCATTATAATATTTATCGTAGATCCCGAATTAAAATCTGAATTGACCTAATGGACTAATTTTTTTACAAGCTTAATTTATTGGGTGAATTTTATGTAAAAAAAATATCTTTGAGTAGAAATTGTGCCATACAATGGATTATACAAAATCCAACCCAAAGCGAGATGGTTCCAATGTTATTGGGCAAATAAAACTCTCAGCAACCCAGAAATGTAGCCCAAAACAAGCCGACGAGGCTTCAATATTTTCCAGTCGACAGGAAGAAGGCAGGAAAGAGCGCCACGTGGAGAACACGAATTCTCCAACTGTCTAGTGGCTCACATTGATTTGGATACCAATCCCACAAATAAAAAAACATATCTTAAATCCGCCATCGCTAGCCGTGCGTTTAGATTCTCGGCGCTCCACTTTCACTCTTTTTCGGTTTCTCTTTTGAATTCTGAGGCAAAATGTCAATCAGTCCCTCGCTCTCTCGCCTTAGCTCTCCATTTCTTTGCAGCCCGCTCAAACTCTCGACTCCGTCTTTGTCCTTCAAATGTGGAAGGAATCAACGGTCGCCGGCCTCTTATCCATGCATCAGAGCCGTTGAATTTGATCAGAACACGGTTCTTCCTCTACCATTTTACTTGCTACTCTTTCGTAGTGACATTGATATTAACTTTTAAATTTTTTAATAATTTTTGTATTAAAAGTAACCTGGAAGTTGTTTTCAGGTAGTAGCAGTGACGGTCGGACTTGTCAGCGTTGCGGTTGGGATCGGCATTCCAATCTTCTACGAAACCCAGATTGATAATGCTGTAAGTTGTTTGTTTACCAATCTTTGGATTGAATTCTGGGAACAAAAGATAAAGAATTGGATCAATTCTTTTTTTGCAGGCTACTAGAGAAAATACCCAACCATGCTTCCCTTGCAATGGCACCGGTGCCCGTAAGTAATTCCTCTCTAGTATAACAAAAACTTGTGCCCTGTTGTAATTAAAAGAATCCAGGATATTCCCAAGGGAAAGCTTTGTTTTGATCGAGTAATTCAAAGTGTTTGTGACTATGCAGAGAGGTGTAGATTTTGCGTGGGAAGTGGCACGATCACTGTAGAGCTTGGCGGGGATGAAAAAGAGGCGTCCAAATGCGTCAACTGCGAAGGAGTTGGTTCTTTAACATGCACTACTTGCCAAGGTAGTGGGATTCAGCCTCGGTATCTTGATCGCAGGTATGAATGGAATGAGATTATAAAATTTGATGGAACGGAGAAAATAAATTAAAATAAATTATCAATAGAAAATAAGAAAAAAAAACTTAAATTACATGAAAATTTGAAATTTTCAGAGATGGCTATATCTCAGAGTATGATTCTCCCTGTAAATGCTCGAAATTTGACTCGGTTGATCTAATCACCATAAGAAGTGGCATCTAACAAATTTAACAGGATGTAACATTATGGAACACGAGAATATGTAAAAGCGGGAGAACCATTGTTGAAGGATTCAATGTTTTGATTTGAACAGGGAATTTAAAGATGATGACTGAAGTGCGAGGGAAAAGAATTTGGACTTGCCTCGTGGGGATTGTTGATAAACATAAACCCGGTGATTTTGAAGGACATTGTGAAACCATTGGTTCTTTTTGTATTTACCCTACATTTGTTTTCTCCCATCTATTTCGTGTCAAATTGTCTACTTGCTGATGGAATGGAACAACTTGTTAGAAATTGTTCATACAATCTTTATTGTATCATTGCTGGTGGTGGTGCTAGATGAGCAAGACACTAGCATTGTTCACAGATAAGGGAGAAAATCAAACAATTTGGGTATTCAGATTTCGAACCAATGATAATCTAACTTTTTTTTTAAATAAAACATATGTCATCTAAAATTCATGTTTATTTTAATCGTGGATCTGCTAAATTTCTATTTAGAAAAGTCGAAATACCTGGCCTAGAAATTCAATATAATCAATTAATCTTAGCAATGTAGGCATAATTGTACGCCTTTTTAGCATATTCAATCAGACAGGTTTTTCGCGTATTTTTTTATGTTACGGCTAAATGTTCTAAACTATACCCCAAATGTCACCTAGTTTTTGTATTTATATCGATTTTATTTCTAATTTTGTTTCATGTAAAATATTTTCCGGAAAACGCTTTTCTCATTTCTCAGTGTTTGGTTGAAGGAAAATTAACAAATTAATGTAAAACATTTTCCCAAACAACAGAATTTTCTTTACATTTTCTAGAAAATGATTTATGATCTAATTTTTCGTAAATCATTTTCTAAACTTTTCACTTCAAAGAATAAATACTCAAAATAATTTTATTTTATGTATTTAATATTAATATAATATTTTAATATTATTTTAATAAAAAAATTAATTATTAAAATATTTAAAATATATTTATTAATATTTCTAATAATATAATATACTTTTTAATATTATAGTAATATTGTCAATTATATTATAATTATATAAGATATTTTATTTTTATTTTAATGATATATAATAAATTATTAATAAAATTTATAATATTTATTAATTTGGAGTAAATACAAGATAATATTTATTCATAGATAACTCTCAACTTCTTAACTTTTTAATATTATAGTAATATACTTTTTTAATATTATAGTTATATAGTCAATATTCCTTCTCCTAGGATCATCTCGACGCGACCGCGATCGAGGCTGTCATTAGAACGGGGAGTATTTCTACCACTTCTCTTGTGCTTTTATTTATATTTTGAGACAAAATGACTTAAGTAAGGGAGTAGAATTGCATCAAATTTTTGCCTTGCTTATTCGATTGACTGAAATCAGGTTTTTTGATATTGATATATTGAGATTTCTTGTTGCCTATCCGATATTTCGCTTTGATTCTCTTATTTCCTTGAGAATTGTGACCTTGTAATTTTTGGAATTTAGGATGCATGATAATAATTGGCATGATTAATTGATTTTCTATAAAAATTTACTTGACTTTCCATATATTTGTTAATTAAATTGAAGCCTGATTTAGTACAAGTTTAACTTTTCTTGTGAGTTTTGAGCCTATTGAGCATATAATTTCCTTCATGCTCTTTGTTTCATTGAGTGTATCGAATTAGTTCTTAGAATTCTAGAACTTGCAACATAATGCTTTTCGAGGCTACATGCTTGAATATAATGCTTTAGTATGATAGGGTCACTTAGGATTTAACCACTTCATTTCCCAAAATAAATTGTCTACCCTTTATTTTCCCTTAGTAAACCAATTTTTAGCCTTATATACTTTTCTTTGTTTATTTACCACATTATTAACTCGAGCCGATTTATTTTTATCCCCTTTTGTCACCCTTTTCAGGACAAAGGTAAGATTGTTTCGAGAGAAAAAAAGGAGAAGAAATATTCGAAACTATTCGAACAAAAAAAAGAGAGAGAAAAAGAATCGAAAAAAATAATGAATAAAGTGTTGATTTCTTTTGCTTCCTTTGAATAAATTTATGGAATGATCATAGTTTTGTCTTGAACCTTAACTTGATTTTTGGCCTTTTTCCCTACCCGAACCTAAGCCACGTTACAACCCTATTTAAAGACCCCTTAACTTTTGCATTATGTTCGAAGTGGATATTAGATTTATTTACTTGTCTATGGTAATATTTTGATTAGTTTCAACTTGAGCGATTCTTTTACCCTAAACACATTGAGCGAAATGAGTGAACTATGGAGAGGTACTAAATTTTGTTTCATTGATATTAACGGATTATTGGAATGTCATGTTTTTCTTTAACTTGCTTTTAGTTATGTCTTTTGCTTAATTGTTCCTTGATTTTTGATATTTTCTATGGTCTTGATTCGATTGGATTTCTTTAAATTATTGTGTGATAGAGGATGGCAACTTGTGATTTTGATTTGTTGATTGAGAAATGCTTGAGGACAAGCATTGAATAAGTGAGGGGGAATTTGATGCGTAGTTTAAACAGTCGTTATTTTATCCTTAATTACTCCTTGTTTAGTTTTTGGTGTTGATTTGGGTTTTCCTATTCATTTTCTGTATAGGACATTAGATTTCAGGAACGACACTATAATGACACAATTCCAAAGAATTTTTATTTTCTAGAGTCAAGGCTGGATTAATGGGCATGACTGCATCCGATCTAGCAGCTTCTAAAAGATCCAATCAGCGTCTTCCAGAAGGTCCAATCAGCGTCTTCCAGAAGGTCCAATCAGCATTACTAAAATACGAACGATTACCTTCAAATTCAAATTATAATTTATTTTTATTTTTTTAGAAATTATCATTTAGAACTATCTCTTATCTTTTAAGAATTATTATTAAGAATTGTTTCCTATTTATTAGGATTTATCTTTTAGGAGTTATTTTTCTTGTATAATTCAATAATTATATCTTGATATTTCTACGTATTTTTAGGATCTTTAGGAGGCTATAAATACCCCACCGGGGTAAGCTAGAAAACATATCTCTCATCTCTCGAACTATTTTGTTCTTTGCTTTCTTCAGTTGAATAAAACTTTCTTTTCTTTTCTTTAATTTTCTTTTAATGTCAAGCATGAATTCTATGTTGCTTGACTAATTTTTTGAATAAGCTGAAGGCGGAAGCTGCAACCCAATCCAATCTTGTGAGAATCGAAAAAGGTACATAATTTCCTTATATTATTTTCTTGAATTTTCGACAACCCAATGAAGGCAATCGACCTTTCTTCAACATCTCAATGTTTTTAATCCAAGGAGTGCACATTGGCTTGATCGACGTTGCGATCTACAATTGGGGAGGAGAATCGACTTGTAGCAAGTTCAATTCCCTAAGAACAAACTTAGCGGTGGTCCACTTAGGGAAACCAAGATTGAGTTCAATTCTCATTGAGACACCATAATCCGAGCACGAGCTTTTCCTATTTCTGAACCAGTACCGACATTAACATCAATTGGTGTTGTTAATCCGAACAAGGGTTGTATTCCATGGATTGACTTTGAAATATTAGTTCACCAAAGAGGAGAGTAAATTACAAGGGTTGGACCTCGTAGACTTTAACCGACAAATATCTAAGGTAAAATATATTTCAGTGATCAAGACCTGATTGAGGCAAAGCAAAAGCTGGAGGTTATCTTTCATTAATTATCTTTTCTACAATTTACTTTTATCACTTTAGTTATTTAATTTTAGTTTAATTAATTATTCCAAAACCCTCATTTTTTAATTATTTGTTTTTACAGGTTTCGTGGTTAGAATCAAATAAAATTAAAAACAAATATTTCTAGAGTCCCTTTGTATCAACCATTCTTCTCACTATTCTACCTATATTATTTCTTGAGATTAAGGATAATTTATTTGATAGGAAAACGACGCTTGTCAACAATACATCTTCATCCTATTTAAATTTCAAGTGGTCTAAATTAAGGATGGGCACAAGACCCGAACTCGACATGTTCCTATTCGATTTGACTCTCTTGGTCAATTTTAAAAAAAAAACCATGTTCAAATTGGGTTCAAGTTTAGGGTGAAAATAGTTAATCCGACCTTACTCAAAAAATAATGTAATTATACTTTATATATTTTAGGGATAATTACAATAATATCATTTTTAAATTATTTTTTCAATTAGATTTGTATTTTTCTGAATAAAAAATTAAGATTTTTTTATAAATATATTTATGTCGTTTCAAATTGAGTCTGGTCGAGTTCGAATTTTAACTCAAAAGATAGGTCGGGTTTGAGGTATGGTGAAATCACCCCAAATCAGATTGGTTGATTTTCAGGTAAAAGGTGCATATTTTTTAGTCAGGATGGGTTGACCGAAAACCTAATCTATTCTCGTCCCTAATCTAAACTCAAAATATTTAAAATTATTTAAATTTAAAGCAACTGGAATCCATAATATTTCAAAGTTATCAGAATTTAGAATTCTCTAAAACCCGAATCTCAAATATTAAAAATTTAAATTTAATTTTACTTGAATATAAAAATAATTTGTGATTCTAAAATCGAAATTGACCTAACTTAAAATCAATCCAATTCATCCAATTGATGGGTCTAGGCTAAAAGAGTTCAAACACTTCTGGGATCCAAGTATTTAGTGGGTCAACTGGGCTGCTTAAGGCTCCAGCAAACTTGGTAACATCATTTGCCATTTCGTATTTGTCATAGTGATTATTAGCAAGTAAATGAAACAGGTTATGTAAATGAGTGAGGAAATGAAAATGGTAAAGCATGAAAGAGGGGTTGCTGATGTATTTCATTACTAGGGGGTTGGTGTCTGTCTCTCATAACTAAACTATCTAAAAGCAAATTGAAGTCGGATCATTAAAGCTTTGATAACTACAAAAGCCAGATATTTGATAGCTCTCCCTCTCTGCGAACTGAACACATGCCATAGCAGATCGTAAATTCGTAATGTTTTTTCCTCATAACCATTGATTTCTAATTTATTGGTTGATTAATTCAAATATGATATTATAGAGACTCATCAAGAATATACCTGATTGTACTGTTGATCAACCTATTTAAGCCTTAGGCTAGGATCAACAAGAGCCTTGGTCTCTATCAACTAAAATTTTTTTAATCTACGTTTGAAATTTTACATATATGACTCAAATTGGGGCAGTATGGGAGATTACAAGTCACCACCATCGGTAACATTTATGAGAAGGTTTACTAAAGAAATTTTAAAAAGTCAAATCCAACTATGAACTTT